GACTACACCAACTGTTTTTGCGCACACGAGAAGTGAGGCGCTGGGAGTGCAATTTCCGACTGCCTCCGTTATGACCGGTACGATGTGTTTCATCCGGCAGAATGGGCAAGATGTCCTAGTCATGTCTCCTGTGACCAAGATGTGCACATTTTCTTCTTGCGATGGACTTTGTGATTCCAGTGCCTAACAAGACCGGATGGTGCTTCCATCAATGTGGCGAGGCCATCTCGAATCGTGTCTTCTTCAACCTGATTTACCTGAATGCAATTGCTCATTTTTCCGAATCACTTATCACTTCGAAATATCCAACTTCTGCTCTCAGGATTTTGTCACAATCGGAACAGACTGGTCGGCCACAATGGAACAGTTTCGCGCAATGCTTGCAGAGACCAGCAATCTACCGGGAAGTCTACGTAACCATGCTGATCTCGGATGGATTGGACGATTCCGCAGATCAGTTTTTCCGATCGAACATCGTCGTTTGCAAGTGACAAATTCCGGCTACAATTCACCGGGAAAGAACGAAATCATGACAAAGGACAAGGCTCTGGGATTATGTTTTTACGACAAAGGTATATACATATCAAATGATTCGGACTTGACTTCTTAGCAAAGAATACTTTTTTCTATCTTCTTGAAAAATCTCATTGTCCCAGTCGATAAACTTGAAGTCCATTGTAGTGATTCAAGTAGCCAAGATACCATTATATTTCACTGTTTTGGAATTTTTGGAATTAGGTTTTCGGTACATTGTTTCGTAATTGGTTATGAACACTGCACGGTTGATTTGAGTAAATTGGTGCAATTTTTCGTTCAGTTTGCAGCTTTTCAATGTGCATCTACGGGCTGATTGATTACCTCTACTTCACCGGCATCCAGTATCTTCATGCTGTACGACGCTCACCGTTACAATCTACCGGTCGACTAAGGGGGCTGTCGAAATACTGCTACCAAAACGAACGCACAGAAGTGCAAATCTAGTTTTGATAACTGAATTTCAACAGCTTTCCTTGTCACTTCGAATTAATGATTACAGTCAATCTCCTGCTATTTCCCACCCCTCGGGAATTCCAAAAGTGGGTAAATTCCAGGAACTGCGACATAGCAGGGTAAACAGTTGTAGATGATAATAAGTAGTATACAAATCGGTTGATAGTTTTGTGACAAAATAAACCCGACCAATGAAAAGTAGGTTAATCCCGTTATTTGTTTCCAATGTTTATTATTACTGTTTATTTATACCGGAATTTAGATCTGCCCTGCGTGTCCTTTATGTATCGAAGAAATTTAAATCTTTCATGACGCCCTCAGTTTGGTATCGGTACATTGCTTGCGGCATTCAGCACGTTTCCAGTTATACGTGTCTAGTTATCCCGAAAATACCTACCTTTCTTCAGGGCAACTTTTTCTGACCCAATTATCCCATAATAATTCCAGATATTCCTCCATTCCGTTACAATGTTAGGCTAACCACAAAATTGATTATATGACGTCCACCATAATATACAACTGTTTCAGCTATAATAATCACATCAGTGTTAACCCATCCAAGGAAAACAAAGGTGAACCAGTTCGAATACAGTGAGAAAGTAATAACATCTAAAGTGAGTGAAATATCTGTTAAGGGGTGTACTCAAAACATGGACTTCCTTCCCGTATTCAAACTGGTCGTTCGTTGTGCAATCTATTCATGATTTTCTAGTGCAAAGTGTGTATCATTAGCGTCTGTAGACATCTGTTCGTTCGTTCGCTTCTGTTGTTACCAGTGT